ACTACGCAAAAAAATTAGTATATGGCATCGTAGCCGTACACTTGGCCCTCACATCATCCCCTCCTCTCGTAATAATGGAAGGCCGTCAGGGTTCTCTTGTAGATGGGCCGGGATCTGGAGGAACATCAGGAGGAGGCATCGGTGGATCTGTAGACGGTATTAACTGCTCCTGATCCCTTTGTATGAAGCATTTTAACCGCTGCACATGCACAATCTCCGGAGGATCGGCCTGCTGAACGTCATGCCGAACCTCATAAACTTGTGGTCCAACTTGCCGCAACACCCGATACGGTCCTTTCCACTGCGCAAGGAGCCCCTTAGATAAACCACGTACCGTAAGATGGGGAAAACGGACTAACACCAAATCATCCACTTTGTACTCTGCAGGTGGACGATGATGGGAATTGTAGCGCCGTTGTTGTCCCACTTGTACACGGCCTAAGTGTTCAGCAGACTCCGCTCGGACAAGTGGAAGAATGCTTGTCAAATATTGATCCCATGATCTAGCATCAGGAGCTCGTGGCAATCGCGAAGGTAAACCCAGCTCTGTTGGTAATATTGGATCATGACCATATAGAAGTTTATATGGTGAAGCACCAATAGAACTCTGCACCCCTGTGACATAGGCATACCGAAGAGACGGCAAATAACCATCCCAATCCGAATGTTGAAAGTTCACATACTTCGCAATCATCCCTTTAAATGTCCGAACGAGCCGTTCCACCAGACCGTCTGATTGTGGATGATAAGCACTCGTAAAAGTGTGGCGTATCCCCAACCGAGATGTCAAAACATGAAATACCTCAGCCATAAATGCAGGACCATTATCCGAAAGAATCCACTCTGGACAAAAATGCTGGAACACCACTCGATTGAGGAGGAAGTATCCAACAGCAGTTGCAGAGGCACTAGCAAGAGCACCAACTTCCACCCAACGAGTCAAGTAGTCAGAAGCAATAATAACATACTCATTGCCAGCAGTCGATCGCGGAAAAGTCCCATAAGATCAAACGCCACCAACTCAAACGGACGAGAAACTGCAATTGACTCCAACCGTCCTTCCGCAGCACAAGGGGGAGTATTACGAGCTTGGCACCAAACGCAGCTACGCACATACCGGATAATATCACGTCGCATCTCTGGCCAATAGAAAGATCTACGCAGCTTCTCGGTCACACGACGATGTCCCATATGCCCACCTAGAATAGGAGAATCATGGTAGGCATGGAGAAACCGCGGAATAAACACCGAAGGCACCACCAGCCGTAAATGATCATCAGGATCCGTCCCCACAAAATAAAGAAGGCCATCTTCAAGGCGATATTGAGAATGTAAATGCCGAAAAGGCAAGTCATCAGCAAGTGATGCAGGATTCTCAAACCCATCTCGAAGCCTTCGAATCCACGGCTCAATTTTTTGAGCCTCGCGAACCTCATCAAGAGAAGGTAGATCTTGCTCTACGCCCTGTGGACACTGAACGTCAAGGACAGCAACCGCCGACGGCACAGAATCCTCATCTAGAAAATCCACAGATGCTGGAACAACAGGTTCGTCAGAAACATGAGAAGTGAGTGGAGAAGGAAGAGGAGCTCGAGAAAGGGCATCAGCATCAGCCATAGAACTCCCTGGGCGATGAACAACATCGAAATCATATATCTGAAGCTTCAAAGCCCATCGAGCCGTACGACCAACCAGGTTCTTCCGCTTCAATAATGAAGTAACAGCAGCATGGTCACCTTCAAGTAACGTCCGAGAACCATGTAGATATGCATGAAGTTTCTCGAAACCCCAGACTGCTGCTAAACACTCCTTCTCCGTCGTGGAGTAGTTCATCTCCGCTGGTTGTAATGTACGGCTTATGTATGCAATGGAATGGCGCTGACCAGGCACACTCGAGCTCTCTTGCATCAACACACCTCCAAGACCAATGTCAGAAGCATCCACGCGCAAAATAAAAGGTCGAGTGTAGTCAGGATATGCCAAAACCGGAAGAGTCGTCAATAGCTCTTTGAGATTCACGAACGCCCATTCACAATCGGGAGACCAGATGAAAGATGACGTTGATGGCTTCAGCAACGCTCGCAATGGTGTAGTGCGATCGGAAAGATGATCCACAAAACGACCAAGATACTGCACTTTACCCAAAAAGCGTTGCACATCATTCACACACTTCGGAGTAGGGAACTTTAGAACAGCCACAAGTTTGTCAGGATCAACTTGCAAACCCTCACGAGAAATACAGTACCCAAGATAAGTTGTGTCCTTGGACCCAAACACGCACTTCGACCGCTTCAACTTTAAACCAACGTCACGTAGCCGATCCAACACTTTACAAACATCACGAACATGCTCCTCCCACGTCCCCTCCGAGTGGATCAAGACATCATCAATGAAGTCAGCCGTCACCTCCGGCATATCGCAAAGAACCTCGTCCATCATCCGCTGAAAAGTTGCTGGAGCATTGTTCAAACCAAACGGCATTACCAAAAACTCGTACAAACCAAATGGTGTACGAAAAGCAGTCTTAGGAATATCTTCTTCGGCCATCGGTACTTGCCAATACCCAGAAGCAAGATCTAGCTTGGTGAACCAACGACTTCGCCCCAGACGATCCAAGAGATCAGCAGTGTGAGGAAGAGGGTACACGTCCGGGATCGTCACTTCATTTAACGGACGATAGTCGATGCAGAAACGAATACTCCCATCAGGCTTCATCACAAGATGAGGTTCACATGCCCAAGGACTCCGCGACTTCCGAATAACACCCTTCTCCAACATCTCCTTGACGTTTGCATGTAAAATCTTGATCTCCTTGGGTGACCGACGACGAACAGGAACCTTGATTGGACGAGCATCCCCGGTTGGAATGGGATGACGTGTGGCAATCTTGGCCCCAGACGATAGGTCAAATTCAAAGAGATCAGAATACTCCTTCATGAGCTGGTCAACAGCTGCAACACAAAGATCATCGGAGGGATCGGAAAAGGGAAGAGTAGAACAAGATGGAAACACAAGAGGAAATAGTGGGGGAACAAAAGTAATGGAAGCAAAGGTAGAAGTAGAGGGACGAAGAGGTACGGAAGTGAGAGGAATGGATGAAACATAAGGAAGTATGAGACAAGGGGGAGAAGCCTCAAAGTCACACTTGGCATGATTGTGCTGCAACCAATCCATACCAAGAATGAGGTCAAAAGCTTGACTCGGCATCACCCGCAACGACTGCAACTCAAGCTCGAGATCGCCCACACGCACAACCAGGTCCGCCTCATCTCGTGCACATGCATGTATACGGCCGTTGCGGTAAAGAATGAAAACTGGATCTGCCGCACGACGCAAGTGTAGACGACAACGTGTGGCAACAGGTCGAGCAATAGAAGATAAACTCGAACCTGTATCAACCAACACGGAGAGAAGAATAGGAGACCTCTTGTTATAAAAACGAGCTTGGAAAGTAAACACTGGATGAACCGGTGCCGAGTGAACCCCTTGATGATACTCCCGAAAGAAAGATGGAGGGGTCACTAACTTATTCGTGCAAGGTCCCTCCATTACTTGCGCGACTCCTCGTTTCCCGAATGCACCTCGGGATCCAAACCTTCCACCACAGCAGCACCAACGGGACGTTGCTGACGCCAAGGTCTCCACCCAGGAAATGGAGGTCGCCAATCTGGAAAGCGCCGACAACGCCGATAAGTATGACCAACTTCATCACATGCCCAGCAACGAACGTCACGGCCACGACCACGTCCTCGCCCTTGTCCTTGGACTCGAGTAGCAGCAGCATCAACCTCCATGGGAACAGAACCATCACTCATAGGAAGTGGAGCTGAAGGACGTGTAGCAAGAAGTGGAAGAGGCGACGTCTCATAACGTTGTGCCAAGCGAAGAGCATCGTCAAGAGTGGCAGGAGCAAGTGCATGCACAAGTCCGACAAGATCTTGACGAAGTGCTGGCCACAGCATTCCTAGCTTGATCCGCTCCGACATATTTGGCTCCGCACGAAGCAAAAGACTTCGGAAACGAACGCCAAATTGCATCACCGACTCAGATGGCCCTTGGCGAAGACGATGCAATTGTTGGAAGGCATCATCACAATCGTCGGCGTGTCCAAAGGCGCGTTTGAAGACGTCCAGAAGAACACTCCAATCGCCACGAGTAGCTGCGCTCAATCCATTGTACCACTGCAATGCCGTCCCTTGGAGACATGTGGGGAACTCACGCAAACGTCGAGCATCATCCCAAGAATGATATGTGGCAATCACCGTGAAGTGATCGAACCAATGGTACACATCATCCCTAGGATTCCCACGAAAGAACTCCGGCCAAACGCAAGGATTGGCACCAAAAACAAGAGGAGTTGTACCATGTGCCGTGAATGCCGCCATCAACTGAGTTTGATTGTTCAATTGCAAGCGCATAGCATCAAGCAATTGAACCAACTGCTGCTCTAGAGTCAAAGGAGGAGATTGCGGATCAGCCATGAAGATGAATGAAAAAGAAAGAGCAAAAGAAGAGAAATGACAAAAAGCTGGAAAGAAATGGTAGATCTAGACAATGCAAAAAGGTAGATCTAAACCAAAATCCTGAAAGGAAAAAACAAAAGAAAGAAAATGGAAAAAGCTAGATCAAAAGCTAGATCTAAACCGAAATCCCAAATCCAAGCACTCCCCAGGAACAATCAAAGGTGCCCCTCAACTCCACCAATGTGAGTGCATGGAATATGGAAAGGAAATACAGAAATGTGCATATCAATTAGCCCAAAAACCCTAGCTTATATACAAGAGCGAGTGGTCCGGATTGAAACCAATCCGACGGCTACCAAAATCCACTACGCTAATATTAGTATACGGCATCGTAGCCGTACACTTGGCCCTCACAAATTCATTTCTTAGAGTTGCACTAATTAGACAACTAATTAGACACCTGTGATAGATAAAATTTGTTAGAATATTCAAATTTATAATATTTCTTAATCACAATCAAGTCTAGTTTTGACTACCATGGCTGCATTGGCGGTGGTGATGATGGGCGGGGGCCCTCGAACATTTCCTGGCGGCATAACAAAGTGGGAATGGGCAAAGCAGCAGCGAAAGAGGCGACAGCTCATGGAGCGAGCGCAGCGCCAGAGGCTCAAAGATGTGGCCGAGGAGCGCCGCCGCCAAAAGGAGCTCCGCCTGGCGTTGGAGCTGGAGAGCCGGAGCCTGGAGGAAATTCCACACCACTTTATCGCTCCCAATGGCCAGCCCACGGCTCGCTCCTTCCCCTCCGATGCAATCTACAGCACCCAATCTTATTCTCGCTGTAAGCTCGAGCCTCACCCAATCCTCGACGTGGATCCTAGCTTTATCCAGGAGCTTATCCAAGACGAGACATAAACTTTGTAAGAAAAAGCTAGCATAAAGGAAGAAAAAAATTTCCTTAGTCCTTGCCAAAGTCTGCGCTATAGTGAGCGCTTGATTCCAGCTTCTTGGCGTCGTTTAGCTTCCTCACGGCCTGGAAGTCACACATTTGAGAATGAAAAGGATAATATGAACGGCATTTACCTTCATAAAGTCTTCTTGGATCACGTAGTCACGGTCCGCTCTGATGGCAAACATCCCAGCTTCTGTGCAGACGTTCCTCAAATCAGCCCCGTTGAATCCCTGGTAACATGAGAGACATGAGCATAGAAAACGAAGGACAGGCTCTAGTACCTCGGCGAGCTTCACAATGGCCTCATAGTCAATTTCACCGTGCTTCAGGATACCAGCAGAGTGAATCTTCAACACTTCGATCCTCCCCTGTTCATTGGGCAACGGAATCTCGATCTTTCGGTCCAAACGACCAGGTCTCAGGAGCGCTGGATCCAAGACATCGGGTCTGTTGGTTGCCATGATCATTTTCACCTGGACAAGAGGCCAACTATATAGAACATGAGAATCTTCCAATCCCTACCTTTCCAAGCTGATCAAACCCATCTAGCTGATTTAAGAGTTCCATAAGTGTTCTTTGGATTTCTCTGTCAGCACTGGTACCTTCACTGAACCTTCGTCCGCCTATAGCGTCGATTTCATCCATGAAAATGATGCACGGCTGCAAAGGAAAAGAAAAATGTCAATGTTTTGATAAGCTAGCGCGACATACTTGGTGATCACGAGCATAGCCGAACATTTCACGGATTAGCCGAGCACTCTCACCAATGTACTTGTCGACGATAGCACTCGACACCACCTGTAAACGTAGACAGCCTTAGCACGCAAAGAACTTCAAGCTTTTCAAAACTTACTTTCAGAAAGTTAGCATCGATGTTACTTGCAATAGCTCTCGCCAGTAGGGTCTTTCCTGTCCCTGGAGGCCCGTATAGCAACACTCCCTACAACAGTTGAAAATATTGATAACAAGAACAAGTTAAGCTCGCAATTTACCTTCGGCGGCTTGATACCAACACGGAGAAAGAGCTCTGGATTCATAAGCGGAAGCTCTATGGATTCTCGCAGCTCCCGGATCTGATCGCTGAGCCCCCCGACAGCCGAGTAGCTGATGTTGCCTGGATCTTCATGGAGCATATTGTGCACAACGGGATCCACCTAAACAAACACAAGTATTAAAATGGTAATCGCTTAGAGCGCAAGAAACACAGTACCTCTCTCGGCAAAGCTCGCATGATCGTGAGAGTAGTCATGTCGAGCGCTACCCTAGTTCCTGCAACGAGCTTCTCTTTGTCGACTTTGTTTCTACACCCAACAACATAGCGCGGCCCGCTGCTTGCCTTGACAATCACTACAGACAAAGGAAGCAAAAAGAGAAAAGAGAAAACGTTAGATCACAAACGAGGATGCCAAGCCAAGCACTCACAGCGTTCATTGTCGAGCTGCCTCAGCACTTCGCCTATAATCTGCCCGACGCTCTGCAACGCCTTGAGATCATCCTCGGTCTTCTCAAACTCCTTCTTCGATGCCCTCAGGTTATCGCGGACTGCGAGATCGAAACACTTGAATTTGGAGCCCTGAAATCAATCGAAACCACTCACTAGTTCGTATTCTGGCCTGGTACTCGCGCGATTGCATCTTCTTCCTGCGATATTCCGACAGCGCCAGCATACGCGGCCGATCCACTTCCACCTCCGCCATTGCTTCTCTCTAGAACCCTAAAATGTACCTAAGGAGGTCACGAGTTCGAATACTTAGTAAAGATTATTATAGTCTTCACCGAATATTCTATTAGCATCTTGTGTGGAAGAAACTCTCATTCCTTATTTGGTGTGATGATACAAACCTCGGAAAACCAAGAGAAACCTACAAATTTGCCTCGTATCTGCTAGAAACGTCGCTCCAGTTTATCACTTTCCAGATGTTCTTGAGGTAGTCCGGCTTGACATTTTTGTACTGAAAAAAAAACATCACTGTTAGAAAGCTAGATCGATTTTACATCAGTCCATGCCTGGAGATAATAAGCGTGCTCCCACACATCAATTCCCAGCAGAGGCACAAGACCTTTCGACGCAAGAGGGTCCTGCAACTTTAAAAGTTTAGAGAAATCTAGGAATGGAAACAACGCGCCGTCATAGACCTGATTCGCAGTGGTCTGCACAGCAAGCTGTTTGAGATCCTTGTTCAGTCCCAGCCACTGATCAAGCCATAGAGTTCATGAAAGATAAAAGAAAAAAGAAAGACACATACCACCCATCCAGAGCCTTGAAGAGCAGCTCCATCAGCATTCATCTTGGCGATAAGTTTCTCCAGCGATCCAAACTGGTCCTTGATCGCCGAAGCAAGCTTTCCCTCTGGTGGCTCACCACCTCCACTCTAAAAATCACAAGAGAAGAAAAGTTTTGTGCCCAGCAGATCTAGCTTACTTTTGAGGGCGCCAGGTTCTTCCAGAAGATCGAGTGATTCACATGTCCTGTAAAGACAGGAAAAGAAAAAAGAAAACACAAAAGGAAGATTGTAAGGAAAAGTGAGATTCCTGTGCCCAGAAGCTACGCTTACCTCCTCCATTGAAATTGATAGCACCCTGGAGCTTGACGATTGCCTCGGCATTCCCATCCTTCTCGGCCTGCTCCAGCTGCTCCAGCGCCTTGACGAAATTCGTGATGTAAGTCTGGTGGTGCTTAGTGTGATGGAGCTTCATAATCTCGCCGCTGATGGCCGGCTCCAGCTCGCCATAGTCGTAATCCAAATCCGGGAGCGTGAAGCTGTGGCTGGCCCTGCTCTGCTGCCCAGCCACGGCCATGGAGCTCCATCGCGCGGAGCGAATCCCCCTCCTCCCCAACCTGGTCATCGCGGACGCCATCGCTCCAGAGAGAATGCTCCCACCAGAACAGAAAAACCCTAAAATAGCCGACGGCCGTGATCCCGCCAAGTGCCGGGTCATGCGAGGAGGAAGCTATGGCGATGGAGGGAAGATTTCCACGCCATGGAACACCGTCTCGCCGCCGCGGCCCCTGGCTGCATTGAGCCCCCGCTTGAAAATCGCGTAGATTCCGAAGAATGCGGTGAGCGAGCAGTAATCGAGGAGCCGGAGATGATCGTCGTCGATGGATTCTCGGATCATGGCTTTGGCGGCGGCGCTGAAGTTCTTCCTGCGGCGCATTGAGATTGAGAGGAGCTCCTCCTTCCTACGCTTGAGATTTCGATCGGCCTGGACGCAAACGAGCTTGTTGTCCGTGAATCCAGCGTCGGTGAATCGAACGACGCCCACGACCCTGTGCGTGGTAGCGGCATTGTATGGGAGGATTTCGCCAAGAACAAGGGCGTCCAGTGGATCACCTGCATTGTGGATTGGATTGCCGTGAACAGTCGATCCAAAAGCGATGGAGATTTACCCCTACCGTCGGGAGCTGGGATCGACGAGACCGAGCCGTAATTGAAGGGGCAGGGCAGCGGCGCGATGAAATCCACGGATCCATCGACGCGCCGCTTCACGAAGCTCCCGCGCGGGACCTCGATCGCTACTGTCACGAATCTCGGGAGCTGCGATTCGAAGGAAATGGTCAAGAAAAGATCAGACAATCCGAAAGAAACCTTCGCGAATCGCGCATCCATTGCTAGAACAAAGAACGATTAATTAGGGTTCTAGCCCCGATAGTATAGCTAAAGCTAAGAAATATTTTCTCCAGATCAGCAGCCCCGGCGATCTCTCTCGATCGTGTGCCCAGCGCTGCTCGATCCTCTATACGAGTATATGGTGGAGGAGATCGGAGGAAGAAAAATTAGGGTTCTTCGCCTCGGAGGAACTCGTGCTCGACGACGGCGAAGAGGAATCCGGGAAGTTGAGGAGCTCCTCGATCATCTCGGTGGCCAGATCTTCCTCGCTCTTCATCTTCTTGTGCTCTATGGGCTGTGGCGGCGCGGGATTATCGGTGGGAAGAACAATGTCGCTGCTCACGCCACCGCCGCCCTGGCTTCCAAAGTGTACCTTCATCACCCAGTTGGATTCGGGCTGCCTGCCCGATTTCTTCTGCCAGATTCCCAGGTTGGATTGCTCGGGATCCAGGCGCAAGCACGTCAGGGATTGCGAAACCCTAGGATCCTTCTTGTGGGGATCGGTGGAGCAGGAGGAAGACGAGGAGGAGGAGAAGCATCGATTGAGCTTGGCGCTGAGCGTGGAGAGGAGCGTCGAGGAGGATGGATGTGGCGGCGCATTGGGATCGTAGGGGAAGTTCGTTCTTGCCCGGGGGCCTCCCATCAATCTGGCGGCCTCGTCGTAGGCACGGGCGGCGTCCTCGGCGGTCTCGAATGTGCCCAGCCACACTCTCGTCTTCCTGCATTCAAGGAATCCCATCAATCCTCGCCAAGAACAGCAAGACAAGGAAAGAAAAATCTAAGATGATCCTGCCCGCTGCTCGTCTACCATGGAGATCCGATCGATCAACACTTGCGGAGCTCTAGACTCTGGATTGATCTACAGACTTCTCGACAAGCAAAGAGTAAGGGAAAAGGTGTTCCTTCTTAGATTCTAACTTGGACAATGCAGGCCATCTTTTAAAGTGGGAATTGACCAAGCACTCCTCTCTTTCTTTCGCCGTGAAATAGACGAGAGGGGGGGAGAGAGAGAGAGAGAGAGAGAGAAACAATGCAAGCTCTGTTCTTCAGCTATCTTCCCCGAGCGACAAGAGAAAAGACTCTGGATTTTGGGCGGAGCTTACAGCAGAGGGTGTCGGATCTCGCTGACCCAAGAGCCCCAGTGGCGTTGCCTCACGCCCCGGTACCGCTGCGGCCTCCCCATTCTCGATGGATTCGCGATACAATTCCAGCACCAATTAAGCGGGGAACCTCAAGAACAACGAACAAGAAGGGAGAAGGAACAGTGGAGGACGAGCACAGAAGAGAAGAACACTCTTTTCGTCTGGAGCTCTGAGGGGAATGAGCGCAAAACTTTACTTCTATGCACTTCGACGAGTAGCAATTAAAAGGAGGAGCGGGAAATGGCTACTAGCAGGAACAGAGCTGGGCTGGCTGGCTAGAGAGAAAAAAAAATAGGAAAAACAAAGAGATTTAAATCGCGAAGAGTGAGAAAATTCGAGGGTCCCGCAACCGTTGAGCATGTCGGACGGATTCAACAAACAAAACCTCAAAGTCGTCTCTTCCGGGCAACCCAACGGAGGGAATTTTCCCTTCCATCCCCCGTCCAGTTTTTAGGGTTCTTATTGGCTATGGCGGACGGACGGACACACACAAGGGAGTGATCTTCCTCCCAGCTTCTTCTTCTTTCTTCTTCTCCTTCTAATTTGCGACCCCATTCATTCAGGACAGTCAGAGTCAGTGTCCTGCAGCATTGTCTTGGTTAATTCTGCTCAAGAAATGAGATGATTTTCATTTTCTCTTTTTGGCGCTTCGTTTGTGTGTGTTGTCCACTTGTCCTGAGAGTTTTGTGTGTAGTCTTGTTTTGTAGTAGCATTGCTTGCTTGCTTGCTTTGCTTGCATGGCTGAAGGAAAAAAAAAAAAAAGAGGCATGGGTCAAAGACTATTAAATAGGGCTCACCTGCTTGGCATTTATAACCCATCTGGCTGCTCTGCTGCTGCTCCTGCCGCCAACAACAGAATATTCCACCCACAAATCAAAAGTTGATCAAAAGCTAATCAAGTAGGCCTAATCAAACAAAAAAACCCACCACCACGCACCACCACCAGCAGCACAAAACCAGATAAAATACAAGCCCCCATTCGTGCTTGGTGTCTGCCGTTGTTCATGAAATGTGATTTTAAAAGCTGGATGGCGGGCGGGGGGCGGGCGGGCTCAGGTTCAAACACAAAGGTGGTGGTGATCATGCCAAAGGCATTGTGCTCCTCGTCATGTTTTCCAAATGTGCCGCCACCACTTAGACTAGCCAAGACAATCATAAAAACACTCCCCCGCGATGCTGCCACAGTTCCCGGACCCGGTAAAGGGGAATATCTTGTTACTTTTAACCCCCACTTGTGGGGGCATGGCCCCGCTCCCAAACTAATTCCGCAACTGTGGAGCGCCAACTTGGGCAAGCAAGTCCTTCGGACACCAGGGATTTTTGTACAAAGGAGGGTCATAGTTTCCACGAATCCTTTAGTACTAAGCTCCCGGTTCAATCTCCAGTTGGGGTCCGCCGCTCCTGTTTCGCAAGTGACTCCACTGTTGATGTGGTGACTTTGAGGCAAGCAAGACAAATGCCCAAACTTCATATCCATGTTACTCAAGTTTTGTATTTTCTGAAGGGGGAAAAGGTCTTTGGGGAAGGGGAAAGAAATGAAGAAGAAGATGGTTTGAACGTTACGTGGTTTTAATCTGCAAGGCACCAAAGGGAGAGCACAAAACGGAGCACGCAATGGTGTCATGTCACTGGGAGCAGCCCAGGCCCCACTCTGGAGCAGCAAATCCCACAAGGACACACACCCTAGATCAGAATGCAATGCATGCCTTGTATCCATCCTAGGCTAGATCTAACATGGCACAACATGGGAATTTTAATCATTTAGCAAACAGCAACTCAGAGAGCTTGGGAATATCCAACTTGTTTATGTTGCCTTGTTGGATTGGATTGGATCCTATATAATTGTGAGGCGAAGAAAAAAAAGAAAAACAAGTCTAAGATCTTTAGCTAGATGACGATCCAGAAGAAAATTTCAGACAAGCAGCACATGAAAAGAGCATGAGGGAACTTCGTCTTGTTCGTGTCTCTCTCTTTCCCTCTGTGTCAGTCGTTTTAATTTCTGACTATTCGTTCCGGATATATATAGATGTATGTACTGTTTTCAAGAATATTATACCGAGTTGAGAGGCAAACACCGACATTACGCGTTTGTTTTCCTTCCAGTCTCTCGAGGGGTCAAACCTGGTGATGTTTCTCCCTGTGGTGTTAAACTCTTGGATTCTCTCTTCTCTCGAGTATCGACTGCTCGAGACTAAGAAAGGAGAAAAATATCTCTGGTACATATGGTGTGATAGATACGGCAGCTTGTTGCTGCCACGGTCACATGAGAGCGCAGCCATTTCTAACTTGTCACTGTGCAGGGCAGGCCCTCCTTTCACATGGTCACTCCAAACAAATTGCATTTAAAACAACGAAAAAAAACGAAAGCTTTACAAGAAGGTTCACCCAGAACATGGTTGGTGCACTACACTGTTGATCCTGATCTTGTAACCTGTTTGGTTTCTTGAAATTGAAAATGAGCACCAAACAGATCTTGTCCTGAGATGCAGAATGCAAAATGCAAAATGCATCTCTTCCAAGGATCAGTCTAGTCTGCAGCACAAGCTCGAGCTTATGAATGTGGGCGGTACCATCAAAAGTTACACACTCTTATCATACTTTTGTTTGACTTGTGCATCCTTTTCTATGTGTAACATGTGTGTGTGAGAAAACTAAACAAAAACAAGAAATTTGACAACATTGCTGTGTTGGGTGAAACGAAGTAATGCAGAGATCGCCGCAGTGGAGTTTTTGTAGTGCAGTTGACCAGTGTTGGTTCTCGAGCTTTTGCCTTGAGAGCATGACAAGGATTCGCGGAATTTTACGTTTTTTAAAGACAATCACGCAGCCGATCCTTACGGATGGAAAGATTTGGGGATTTTGGCTACGTCGACAAGCACCAAACGGCCACCGGCGCTGTTGCAAAGATACGAAGCGAATCAAAGGTGGCCACAAAAGAAAAAACAAGATTTGCGAGAAACCTCGCGGGGATTCACATGGTGAACAGATCGTACGACAGGTACGGACGGGAGAGAATTTATGCATCACGCGGACTAGTTGTGAATGGAGTTCGTTTCTCTGTAAAAAACTTCCTCTGGGAAACTCTTCTTTTTAATTCTTCCTTGCATTCTAGAAGCGAGAGAGACATGGACATTGGACATTCTCGCAGGGAGCCAGGTATGCCTTTTTGACAAAGGAGAGCAAAGTGCAATCAAGCAAGTTTACAGCTAGCGAGCGAGGCGAAGAAACGAGAAAAACTGCAAGAAAATTGAAGAGGATGGAAACAAAGGAAAGAAAAAAAAGAAAAAGAAAAAACCAAGTTAAAGTTCCGTAAATGCTCCAATGGTCGCCTGTGAAAGAAAATGCTACGAGAGAAATAGACAGACAGGCTCCTTTTGGAGTTACAATCGAATAGATTCGAAAGAGGCGATAGGCTAACAGCCGATAACGCGCTTTGCGCATTGACCATATCCTTTTCCAAGGGGAGCTGTGTGGTACATTGGCACCACCACCGAAGGACAGGCAGACTCGCACACACAACACAACAAAAGTTCCTCACATGAAAAGAAGGGAAAAAAAAAAAAAAAAAAGACAAAGCATATAACAAGAGAGATGGGCGATTTCAATTGCAATCTGGAACTTTATTGCCATGGCATTTTGTCAGTCAGTACTAACTGCCATAATGTACACTCAAGCCAACCCTTCCTTTCTTCTTTCTATCTTGTCTTCTCGTGAACGAGAACCACTGAAGTCATCGTCGCTTCTTTTCTTCGTTCACCATCTTCGCGATTCTGTGATGTTCTCTGCCAGCCGAGAGCTCTGCCTTGCTGCCGATTCGCGGGTCAGTAGCGCGATTGACTTCGCGTCACGAGAAAGAATTTAAAAACCAAAAGCAAAGAACTCCCCCTCTCTCTTTGCTGTATGGCTGTAGCGCGTCTCTGTGTACCTGGTAAGCGCCGCTGGCAGAGCTTGGTTTGCTTTCCTTGTCCAAATCCAAAAGCACGCTTAAATAGAGACGTCCTCGTCTTCGCTAGCCTCTCTTGTTTCCTCCTGGTAAGACGGCCGTCTTCGTTTCGTGGAGTGTCTCTCGATTTCCATGGGTCTCTTGTTGCTCTTTGTCGTTGGAGCTTCTTCCTCTATCGCTGTCTCAGTTAGGCGGCCCTGCGAAAAAAAAACCGCGCTCTCAGTCTCTACAAACCAAAACTCATAACCTCCGACTTACATCCATGAAGATTCTTCGCATGGACTCTCGTTGGTCTTCTTCTTCCTCCGTCAAGTCTCTTCGACGGACTGTAACGCTCGACGGAACTAAAAATTGATTGTCAACGTCGTCTTTAGAGCGGCCCTCCCTAGCCTTCTTCTTGTGTAGTATGAGCTTGGAGCTGATTGGCTGCATAAAATGTTCAGATTGTTATACTAGAGACGACTCCAGATTTTTCTTGTACCAAGTATTGTACAGCATCTTTTCCAAAACAGAAGACGTAGTTATTTCGAGCATCCTCTCCACGGACCTGGAGTTTCAAGAGAATGAGACATACTTTCGCACCAGAAAACTATACGTACATCCCATTGATACTCCCTTATCCAGGTATAGGGAATTTCATCGTCGTCGTCATGCGCCTGAGTACAAAACACACAGGTTTGAAATATAACTGAATGAATAAAGAATACCTCGTCTAGTTTTGGAACCATGTAGCCCAGAAACTTTTCCGTCTTACCGTCTTCCTTGGGCAACGAGTAACTCTTTACAACCGCCTGTTTCACCCCAATTTACCAGTAAGAATTGCACGTTTTGAAATGGAAACCGTACTCGAGATTCAAGGTAGTCCCTTGTGTTCCGATCAAGTTTGCTGTAGAGCTCCGAGTCCCCGGTTGGCTCGGTGTCAAAAACAACATGGACAAACTGGTCGCCACACCTACAGAAGCAAACAAAATCAGGATAATGAACGATAATGAACGATAATGCTGCATGCTTAACCTGGAGAAGTCTGGTAGTAAAGGTAAAACTTCCACAGGTTTGAGTTCGGGCTTGGTTTGATGTACAGGCTCCATCTTAGAAACCCTGAAAGTTTCCTCAATGGCTTGAATTTGGTGGTCTCTGCCAAAAAGAAAAAGCATTGAGAGCTGTGAAATTGATCAACAACGTTGATCCTTCACCTGTCATTGATTGGACCTTTTCGGCCCTCCTTCTGTTCTCTCAGCTCCTTGGCTTGTTTTTCCGTCAACGACTGAACACAAGCATGAAGGCGGACATGAAGTAAAGAAAGAAGACGAAAAAAGTAAGCCTTACCTGCTTAGCAGGATCCATACTGACAGGAGAAATGTATGTAGTTTTCACCAGCCAGGCCACGCCCTTGTCAGTAGGCCGTTCTTTTCTCCTCGCTAGTTCAGCCTTCTGCTTCACTCCAACTTCGTCGTCCACGAGAAGCTCTGCGTCTGCAGGATCTAGAGGAGCCTTCGTCTTTGGCGGACTGCAAGTCTGAACGTAAATCCAACATCTAGAAATGCAAAGCCATACTTGTATACACTGAGGTCGAGAAGATCTAATGGGATACCAAGGTCTGGCTCCACGTAAAGCTTGTGCTTGAAGGTTTTCTCCATTGATGTAATAGAATACTTTGAATATCTAAAACCAGGGAGAAACAATCAGCGCGACGTCCTGGAACAAATCGATCAAAATCAAAACGTACCTGTCTTTATCATTGTATATGCGAAGCAACTTTGGTTGTGATACAGGATCCGGCAGCTCATTCCTAAATCTGGAGAAAGAAAACACCCAGTGTGTAAGAAATTCGAGCAACACACATCCGCGAACTTACTTGATCTTACAAAGAAAGGTGGATGGTCTCTTCAACCGGTTCTCAGCCTTGTCCGGCACAACGGATGGCTTCTTCTCTATCCGCTGCTTCTGCTGAGAGTGGTGAGCCGAGGCCTTAGCGTCCCTTTGCTTCCTCATCTCATACTCCTTCTTCTTCCTTTCGCGTCTCTCCTCCTCCGTTTCCCTCTTCACAGGGTGAGATTGGTGCTGTTGATGGTGATCACCCGAATTGGGATGACTCGAAGAATTGGAGCTGGGATTCCTCCCTGGCGCTTGAGCCGGATAGGAAGAGGACGACGGCGGTGGTGGTGGAGGAGGATAATTTCCATAGCCGCCGCCGCCGCCGCCGCCCGGCGGCCTATCGTGGTGACTGGGGCGCTGCGGCTGATGGTGATGCCCTCCCCCTCCGGAATAGTGGCCGCCATAGCCCGAGCTCGTACCTGATGAATACGGTGGCACGCCGGGCGGAGGCCCTGGTGGATATTGCTGCGATCCGGGAGGAGGAGGCTGATGCTGCGACGAATGCGATCTACTGCTACTACCGTAAGGAGGAGGAGGCGGGGGCGGCGGCTGTGAGCTCCTCGCTGGTGGCGCTCGCCCGGATGGATACACTGATGCCATTCCCGCTACTGCAGAGCCCTAAAATCTCCGAGGAGCCCTAAACCTCTGAACTGGACCCTTTTAAAAAAATGTTATAAGGGAAGCTTTTAAACGTGTTTGGTTCTGTCATAGTACACTCTATAGATGCTTTTGCGCTTTCGTTGCTATCCAATCTCTGGCAGATGCTGCTGCTGATTGTTTTGTACAATGGGCGAGCTAGAGCCTTGCTGGTCCCTTTGCTTGCCTTTGTGTAGCTCGGCGGCTTTGGGAGAGTCCCCGTGCTGCTGCAAAGCTTGGAGTTGCTCCTAGAAATCAGAGAACTTTAGACAAGAAAAGAGAAAACGAAAGCTTTTACCAGGTAAGAGTCGCGCTCCTCTTCGAGTTGCCGCTTTATTTCCTGGACATCTGCTAGCTGAGCTTTCAGCCTCTCATTGTCTTGGGTTAGATCTTCCACTTTGTGGCTCAGTTCCTCACATTCTTTCTGTCAAAACCAAATGTAAACGTGCTTGTGAAAGGGGAGAAGGAAAACAAGAGAAAGAGACTAACTTGTTTTCTTTGCCTCGAGCGCCTTGCTGATTCCCTGTTAGATTGCTTCCTACGCTGACGCTTAAGTTCGCGTTCATCCTGAGATTTAAAGGAAGAACTTATTAGTAAAGGTTCATATCGAGCCAGGATGCGTACTTGTAACATCATGTCAGATTCCAGGGCCCCGGCTGGAACGATAGCTCCGGACGCACGCTGCTTTCCCTGACCACCATTCCAGAAATCTACACCTGGACTTGTTCTCGCTAATCAAATCTAAGAGAAAAGGAGTGGTTTTGATAACAACCTGTGTACTGAAACCCATTAGTTGTCTCTGTCCCTTGCTCGCTACTGTTTTTCTTGTTCTCCGTCTGCGTAGGACCAACAAAACGCCAGCCTTAGCAAAGGCAAAACGTGTCATACCTTGTCCTCGTCACTGTTTCCACTGGGAGAACCATCACTGTCGCTCTCCTCGGTTCTGCCAGTCAGAACGTTAATCCACCAAAAACAAAAACAGCCCGATTGCACAGCAAAAACCTCGGGGCAATTGCTTTGTCAACAGCAGCTTCTGGTTTCGTCTTCCTTTTCTTACTTTTGGATGACTTGCCTTCCGCAGCCTGAGAATCACAGCAAACAGTGTTTATTAGAGATTTCCTTTTGTTTTCTGGATACATTACCCCGTCATTTCCACTGCCGGGAGGAGACGCCATTCCAGCGAGACCGTATGGGTAGCCTCCATGCGGGTACATTGCGTAATGTCCATACATCATAGGCTGCATATGCTGCGAAGAAAAAGAAAAATAAAAGATCAGCCAAGCTACTTAGTTCCAAGAAAGTTGGAATCTTTGTACTTGTCCATGCCACACAGGAAAGTAGCCAGCTTGTGGTGCTCCCCCCGGCGCTGGAGGAGGAGGATAGTATCCCTACACAGAAGAAAAAAGGAAGGAAAAACTCGACTTAGTCACAAGCTCAAATCGACAGAGTGAGAAGCATGCTCTTACTTGTGGCCACGAGGTTGGAGTGTGAGTTTCCTAAGCACTCACTCGTTTGTGTCAACTATAAAATGGGATAAAGACAAAGGCTTTAACGAACAAACCTGGGAAGAAGAAGTGGCCGGAGGAGGAGGAGGAGGTGGAGGAGGAGGCGGCGGCGCTGCCTTTGAAGCTTTCGCACTGGAAGGGGGCGCGTCGCCAGAACCCATCTGGGAAGAAATCCTAGAGGAATCACCCCAAGCTGCGAGAAAGAACACCAAAGCGCTTACCTTTTAGCTCTAGAAACCCTGGAATGGATCAAAGAGGAGGCATTTGGCGAGCGCTGGCGCGAGAAGAGCTTGGAACTTCGATCTGTGCTCCGATTGTGTGTGTAATGGCGCGCGGATGACTGTGCCGCGGACTAGGATCACAAGCGCCGCGCTGGCATCGGCAAACCTGCGCTGACTGGACCTAGGGCTTTAAGAACCCTAACTTCTGGCGGCCGTGACGTGGGCAAATTGACAGCTGGCAAACACGTGGGAAGCACGCATACATTTTTAGGGTTCCTGGGATTTCGTAGGGTTTTAGGAGCGCGAATGGGCATCCAGGTGCGATTGCTGCTGCTGCTGCTCTACATTCTGGCGCTCCACTCCCTCGCGATCTTCCTCTTCACGTCGGGATTCCTCCTCACGCGCACGGAGCTGCCGAATGTGAGCGAATGCGCGGATGCCGCCGCCGCCCCTTGCGGTCGCGGCAGCGGATCGAATGCCAGTTGCTGGACGGATTCCGGTGGAGTGAAGCGCGCGATCGTTGTCATAATCGATGCGTTGAGGTAGGTGATCGTGTAAAATATTTATGGATCTGAGCTATTGTCACTGTAGATTTGATTTCCTTGCAAGGAGTGAATTCTTCTCCGGTAAGAGTGCTCGTAATTTTTGCCAGCCAGCGTCACTTTACGGCTTTCTAGAATCAAAGCCATGGATGGATAGGCTTACAGTGCTACAAGATCTAGCAGAGAACGAAGCAAACGCTAGAATTTTTAAGTACGTTGCTGATCCACCCACGACAACACTGCAGCGGCTCAAAGTTTATATGCATACCTTTTTCTTGGTTCGATCCCTCGTATCTCACTGTTTTCTTTTTCCTTCTTTCAGGGGCTAACGACGGGAGGATTGCCAACATTTATTGATGTTGGCCACAGTTTTGGTGCTCCTGCAATAGTCGAAGATAATTTAATTCTTCAGGTCAGACCTTATACGAAATCTTCTATGAGAAGTCATAGTTTAATATTTGGTTTCGTCCAGCTTGCACGAAATGGCAAGCGCGTTGTGATGATGGGAGACGATACGTGGTTGCAGCTATTTCCAAATCATTTTTCCGAAGCTTATCCATTTCCATCATTCAACGTCAAAGATTTGCATACAGTAAAACATTTTCAAAAATTTTGCTTGCAAACTAATCTGTACGCAACATTGTAGGTGGACAATGGTGTTATAAGCAACATCTTTCCCAAGCTGCATCAAAACAACTGGGACTTACTTATTGCCCACTTTCTTGGCGTGGTACTTTTGTCGCGAGCAGCACGCTGCTCCTTTGCTTTGGTCATTTTTCGTGATGCGATTTAATCTACATCAGGATCATGTTGGACATATATTCGGGGTAGAATCTCCTCTCATGGTTGAAAAGCTGACGCAGTATAACAATGTCTTGGAGGTAATGTTTGAAACCACCATTATTCAAGACATTTTTGGGATACGTTACTTTACAGGAAATCATTTCTATCCTTCAAAAGGAGTCAGGTCCTGGTGGTCTCCACGAAAATACTATGCTGATTGTTATGGGTGATCATGGTCAAACTCTTAATGGAGATCATGGTGGTGGAACAGCTGAAGAGGTTCGTTGTTCTTCTGGCATTTTTCATTGAACCCCATATGAGTAACAGGTTGATACTGGACTTTTTGCTATGGTCCTGGGAGGCCGAAAAGGCAAGGATATTCATTGTTCTTCTTGTGGATTGTGCATGGTTTGTTTATTTTTCCTGGAGTATTTCCAGCGTAATATTTAACATATATTTGTTTCCAGGACGCCAGTAGCCCGGGTATAAGCACGCTTCCACAGGTTAGAATCGATTCTGTGAGATGAACATTGATGACCGGTATGCAGCTAGATTTTGCTCCTACATTATCTACAATTTTAGGAGTTCCCATTCCTTTTGGAAGGTAGCTCTGTTTCCTCACGTACTTGCTTACGTTCTTAACGTGTCTGGTTGTAGTGTTGGACGAGTAAATTTGGAATTGCTTTCATTGGCTTGGTCTAACCATGAATCCTCAAATACACCAGAACACTACCAGAATGTTCTTTGTATAAATAGCTGGCAGGTAAGGTCACGTTATTTCTTGTTTCTCATGTATCTGTAAGACATGCCTCTTCAGGTCATGAGATATCTCGAGCATTATGCAGCGCATTCGCTTAATGGGATTCCAGCTCCCGATTTAATGCGCTTGAAAGCATATTACGAACCTTTGTCTCGAGACGCAACTGGAATTGCCACCGGTCTCAAGGACCAAATAACTTCATACAACACTTTTCTTACGGAAGCTGCCGATTTAGCCCGATCTCAGTGGACCCAATTTGGAGATGCTAAGATGGCTGCAGGCCTGACCCTTCTAGTATTATCTGTTCCGGTTCATGCACTGGCGTTATTAAGAGTGTCGCGTTTCCGAGGGACTCACCATTCTTATGAGCTGCAACTAATCTTTCCTGGAAGACTTATTGCCTCCGCATGCACATTGGGAGGTCTTATTTCTGTGGCTACAGCTGTTACACTAGGTAAAGGCTTCAGCTGGTATGTTATTCTTGGAGCCGTGGGCTTTGCTGCAGTATTTGCGTATCTTCTTTCTGGATTTTTTCAAAAGACATTAAGTGCGAAGACCAAAAGCTCTGAAAAACGCTTCTGGAGCTATGCCTGTGATTCGAAGGCCATAGCAGGAGTTATGTTTGTAATGCTGCACGCTTTGAGTCTCCTCTCAAACAGTTTCATCAGTAAGTAAGTCACTTCTAACGGCTTATCTAAACTTAATGTTACAGTGGCTGAAGGACATGTTGCAAGTTACCTTCTTGCAACTATTGGATTGATATACTTTCGATTTGCTCTGCAGTTCCAATCTAAAATCTTTCAGGCAAGCACCGTTTACTCTTTCTCTTTGTACTGACACCAAACCGTTTCAGGCCGTCTTGTTTCTTGTTGTCAATCGTGTCCTTTCTGGCATGGGTTTAACGAGCATTGTCAAAGACACGGTAGAATCTGGCAACGAAGTCTCTTACGCTAACTGGCTTGATGCAACTATATATTGCGTTCCCTTGCTAATATTTTCTTGGCTTGCCATCCGGCACGTATCCAGGAACTTGTATCGGCTAAACGCTTACCTCGTGGCAACACTTGCTCTACCTGTAATGTACGCAGCCATCGCAGTTCATTGGCTTATCTTGGATTTGAGCGAAGTGAAGACTATCACGATACCTGGCGATATAAGAGAATTTGCCCGTTTACAACTACCTCGTGTGGTATTTCTGGGCACTTTATTAGCCACGGGTCTCGTCTACTTGGCTGGGAAACTTTCCGCTGGTAAATCACATCTTAGAGATGCTGTGATTGCGTTGTTCGGAGCTTGGAGTGCCTCTATTCTCCTGCTTCTTGGACGCACATCTCCGGCTCTCGGTTTTCTTGCAATGCTCGAAGGTAATCTTCTTACAGTTCTGTGTGCCAGCTTTGTGATTGGTTTCCTGCAGTGTGGTGTATATTGGAGCTTCAAAGCTTGGAGAAACGAAAGCTTATTTCTTCACACTGGAATTTTCTAGCACTTTTGCTATTTTTTTGCACTAACCACAGGCATGTAGAATTGTAACTTCTTCGACTAACACCTCTGCGTTTTAGATGTACATTTGACGGTCTTCGTTACCCTGCGGCGTTCATCGGGTAACTTATCTTCACACGGTGTAGTATCATGCTTCTGCTGATTACGTAGTTTACAGATTTGACGAGTTTAACCTCTATCGACAAGGAGCACTTCTTATTATTGACACTTATGGCGCATCGCATGTTTTGCCCATAATCGGCCTGCCTTCTCTTGTTGTCGCTGAATCTGAAAAGGATAGCGAGCAAAAGAAGGCAGACGGACGTCGCTCAACACATTTTGCTCTAGACATTGCTTTGGTAAGGCTTTTATGATAACTCCGAAGCCATAATCTTCTTTTCCACATATTTTGCAGGCTTACCTTTCCTTCGGGCTCATCCGAAGCGTCACCACTACTTTCTCGACGATTTGTGTAGCAATACAAAGACGACACTTGATGGTAGGCATCTCTTTTTTGCTTTCTCTATTGCAAACACGGCTGCTTCAGGTTTGGGGATTATTTGCTCCAAAATACGTTTTTGATGCGATTGGTCTTTTGATAACCGATTTATTATTTGTGGCCGCATCTGGCCTGTATTTTTCATTCACGTAACTTCATGGGTTCCAGAGACTTTGAGCTAGTTTTGTTCGAATTGCTGCACAGAAATTCATCCCTTCTGGTATGTAATCATCCTTCTGTGCTTGTTTCACGATTTAATTAAACATTGGGGCTGGGGCTGGAATGGAGTGTTAGACTCAAAGTGTGAGACTACGAGAGGATCTTCGACTACAACAGAAGCCTCGCGAAAGTGAGGTGCACACAAGAGCTTAGCCAGCCAAACCATACCATCCTCGTCCACAAGCCGCCGGCGAAAGCTAGCAACCGGCTCAACTTGAAGAACCACACCGAGTCGCGCGTCACCATCGCGCAAAACCCAAAGTTCCTCGGCTCATCATCCGCAAAGACCTCTGGCAAACAGCACGAGTATTCCGGAGGATCCATCTGTTCTGTAAAGACGGATGCTAAACTGCTGCAGCTGCAACCGCCAGGCCGCCAGCTTCGCAGACACTACAGCACACCCACTTACATCGTTGGGGAGAGGACGATCTATTAAGTTGCGAACATCTGCTGGTGTGTCCATTGCGCTAACAAGATCATCTAAGGTGAAAATGCTCAAGGCCTTGAATTATCCAAAAACTAATGACGTAATGTATAAACTATATACATTAATTATACATTAATATATACATTAGTGTATAAACTATAATGTAAAGTTGTTAAAATTGACGGGAACAAGTTGACAAAATAATCCATTTCTTACTGAGGGTGGTACCTGTTAATGTGGTGTTGGAGCGAATTGCTACTGAGGCCTACGTTCTTCTGGCACAGTGGACAGAGACGAGCCGCTGGTTTCCTTTGCTGCCAATCCATGGAGCTACTACCGCCATGGAGCTTCTTGTCCACTTCTCCCAGAGCCTTCATGAAGCCATCGTTTGGTTGCGCGCGGGGGTGAGCGCCTTTCAACAAGTTCCATGCGTCCAGCAGCGTAAAACCCCTGAGAAACAACGCAAAATTACTTTGCGGACTGGAACGTCGAGTTTTCTTACTTTGCCAGCATCAGGTACGCGAGTACTATCGTTGCGCTGCGGCTCTTGCCTTCAAAGCAATGAACCAGAGCTTTCCCGCCGCTCTTCTCACAATCTTCGATGTATCCGCAAGCTTCTTCAAAGTGGCTCGCGATGTCCTCCTCTTCAATATCAAGGACCTGTTTGTAAAGCAAACAATTAAGTCGCGCAAGAAAGAGGAGTTTCTTCTTCTTCTTTTCACGTACTTGGCAGGTCTTGTACTTGAAATACTCAGCAACTTCCGGCTCTGGAGATCCAACCTCGATCGGACAAAGGCACAAAATGTGAGTGATGCCAACGTGCTTGAGGATATTAACTGACTTTGCAGCCAGTGCTCCTCCGACGTAAAGGCAGTCCAGCACACGAGAAGGCCTCTCTGTTTCGGTTCCTTGAGCAATTAACTCCATTCTTTCCAGTACGTGCTCCAGACGAACCTGAATTCACAGCTTTTTTCACTGGCTATCGAAGTGGAAATACTACCTTGAGTTCGTAGCTGTCGACGACGCTATGCGGTCCGCCGCCTTCAAGGAACCCCGTGGAAAAGTCGTGCGTTTGGCAAAGCTTGTGGCCTTCGGAACCCAACACCTTGTCCCAGTGCTCAACTCTGTCATGAATTCCATCATCCACCTGCAAAAGAAGGTTCGTAACGTTCAACTTTGTCGCGTGAGAGACGCTCCTTACCTTGGCTAGTTTATTGTAGTCTTTCAGCTGAAGTGTGAAACGTCTCTCGAGTTTCAGCGGAGGACTCACGCCATCAGCCGATGAAAGCGTCGGAGGAGAGGGCTGGGGACTCAGTCGTTCACTAGGCGAGGATTTGTCTGGACTCCAGTCGGAAGGAAGGTTTTCCCTGATATCGGCGACAAATTGCTTCAGATAAAAGTCCAGCCTCCTTTGTAGCTTCACGAGAAACGAGCGAAGCGGCACCATCGCTTTAAGTCCGGCTTGGAAACCAGACAGAAAAGCATTCGTAACGCCAGCCATATCCAGCTTCTCCGTCTCCTCCGCAACAGTCTCCAGGTAGCCACTCGATATCTCCTTCACCACCTCGGAAGAAGTGTCGAAGTCGTGGAGGAGCATCTCCACAAACCGTGGATACTGCGCTCTATCCAGCTCTCTCTTTTGGCTTGGAGGCCTTCGTGGGACACCCGAGTCGATCGCCACGAGATGGAGGGCCTTTCCACCGGGTGGATTTCTTTGCGGCTGCTCCGCTTCGACGGAGGTACCAACAGTGATCGTTGTGGTCCTCTCTCTTGCGTGCTTTGGGATCGGTGGAACGCTCCGGCCGGACACGATGCTTCGTCGTCCAGTAACTTTAAACTCGAGTTTCTTCGTCTGGAGCGGCTCTACTATTGGCGTCCTCTCGGTGCATAAGAGATTCCCCGGGTTTCCACGCCACCCCAGTTGCTGGCATGGGAGGCGGTCTTCATTGCGAAGAACAAGGTCTAGCAGCAGCACCCGGCCCAAACTTCCAGCAATTCTTCGCGCTATGGCTTGTGTGAGGACTGGAGGTTTGTATTTGTGCAGTGGACATCCAGTTACATACCTGCAAAAACGAAAAGTATGATTGTTTTTAACAGGCTTACGAGTAGTGTGTTTTTACCCCATGAGCAGCAAGCAGCGGTTGATCTCAAGCGCTTCTAGCATCTCGTCGCATGTTTTCACGCAATCTGGATTTTGAAGCTTCACATTTTCAGTTGCACGAATAATTTCCGACCATTCTGGCGACTCGCTTCTCACGATTCGAGCCTGATTGAGATCTGCTATGAATAAACAAAGAGAAGCTCTAAATTACCTGAGGTGTCGATACTCCCAGGTGTCTGCCAAGTTCGTATCCCAAGCGCTCAGACTGCGTTGTCAAGCGTGAAGGAGTGAACTTGAGACAAGCTGCGGCCTCCTCGCCGTTTCCCAGCTGAAACACTGCAAAGTAGACAATTCCACCTGAGTTCACGTTCACCTGTTTTGAAGAATCTATACTTCAAAATCTAATCTGAAAGTAGTAGAACTAAGCTATCCTACCTCGAGAGACGCTGGAGCCGTCGCTTCTTTCTCTTCATCCTCTGTGTCGTTTGCATGCTCCGGAGTGTGCAAGGACACAAGACGCTCCCACTTAAAGTCACTGGAATTTATGTTTATATCAGCAGCCTTTTGTAGCCTCTCGTGCACGCTTTCAAAGGTGCTAGATTCTTGTGCAGCTGGTTCTAGATTGCTGAAAACACAAAGAGAATAGTATCAGCCAAAAGAAAAGGAAAAGAAAAAAAATATTCATAGATTCTATACAAAAGAAGGAAGAGAGGAGAAACATGAGAAGCTTACGTTTGTTCTGGAATCTCAATGAGCTTGGATTCTCTCCTGGTAAGGAGCTGAGATCTTAGAGCTCGTGTTGACGCAAACCATCTTGTAATCTTCTCGACGGTCACCGCAGAAGGATCTACTCTCCGGTAGAAAGCCTGGATTTCAATGCAAGGATTTCATACGCTAGGAAAAAAGAAGAACAGGTGAAAGGAAAGAAATTCACCTCTAGACTGGATGAGAAGTCAAGTCCAGCTTCCTGGAGCGCAAGCTTCAATTCCGCCTCGACTTCGCTCGGCTAGAAGAGAGAAAAAAAAAACTCATCAATCTTACACCCGCATTGCACGGATCCAAGATACCTGGCGCTGGATCTTTGGCGGAGGCGTCTCCATCGCCAATGCGCGATCGCAAGAACCCTAAGAGAGAGAGTATACATTATTTTACAGAGCCCCTGTTTTTGCGTTATCTTAAAATAGGGGAAAAATAAACATTAGGGTTCTTCGGCCATGGCGGACGCCTGGGCGAAGGAGCTAGACGAGGCGACGCGCTTGGCGGAGGAGGTCAAAGGCAGCATCGCCAATGCGAATTCCGGCGGTATGTCTAGAGGCGAGAGATCTAGGCTGCTCTCTACCACGAAAAGGAAGATCCTCATTCTGGACAACAAGGTTAATCGCCTTACCAGTACTCTCGAAACGCTGCGCGGCCAATTGTAAGTGTTTGTGGCAGTCGTGGTGAATGGTTTGATCGCACTAACACTGTGCTCCAGATCAGAAAAGGAATTTTTTCGTTGCCAAGACGCGATTATAAGTCTAGGACTCCGCGTCAAGCAACTCGATTCCAGCTACAAGAGCTCCCAAAACGCAAGGTATAAAAATCCTTGAGTCTTTCTTTCCTTGAAAACTAGATTTTCCTTGTGCTTTCTTTTTCTCTTTTGTTTCAAGCTTCTTCTAAACGCTGCTTCCAGGGACGATTTGCTAGCTGATGGCACCAGGGGCCCTCCCGTCGAGACGGATAAGACTACGGGTTTGGACAATTATGGATTGATCGCGTTCCAGCGACAAACAATGAAAGGTAGCGAGGAACATTGTCAAAGCTTTTGTTTCCTTTTGTTTACGTGCACCTCATCAGACCAAGACGTCGACCTTGAAGATTTAGAGAAATCTGTGATCAGTACGAAGCACATCGCACTGACTGTGAATGAAGAGCTGGACCTCCAAGCACACTTACTGGTAAGCTCTAGCTCGATTTACCAGTGGTTTTGTGATAAAAAACCAATGTCCTATTTGCTGCAGGACGATATGGATCGTCACGCTGATCGAACGAACACAGTTTTACAAGTAAGTATACGCGTGTCATCTTCGCGCTTGCAAATCTCTCCCTCATTTTCTTCGTCTCGACAGAATGTGCACAAGCGTTTGGTCGTTTTGTCGAAACGTGCCGGATCCTCAGCCTTGGGATGCCTGTGCTTGATGATGCTCGTTGTTGTGGCGTTGCTCTTGGTGCTGCTCAAGCTTATCCACGTCTGGTGAAAGTCTTTTCCTTCGCGTGCTTTCTTCGTTTGTATACATACATAGCGAATAAAAACGGGATTGTGTACAGGTCCTACTTCTATCTGCATCTATAAGTTTAAAGAGAATCCTTTGTAAACACTGTTAATATTGTCCGGAGGAGGCACTGCGAGTTTTCCAGATGGAATTTACCACCCACTTAAGGCTACATTCCACATATTTTTCTGTCTGGATTTAATTTTCTTATAAATTTATAATTCAATCTACAGAAGCCTGGGAACTGAGACAGGCTTGTAATCTTTCAGTCCAAGTACTTGCATCTAGATCATATGAGAAAAACCTACGTACCCTTCCATAATATCCTTCAATATTCAAATAGTTACCAGCTTGACCACGGAAGTAGCTCTGTTTACGAGTTACTGATTAAATGCTATCACCTCACCAGTCTCCACAGAAATCTCCACAATTGTGCACTTGTGTTCCACGTTGAGCCACACCATATAGAGCTTTCCCCTCCAACTAGCAAGGCAGACCGGCTCACCCTTCTCGACATTCAGACGGAGATTGACAATAGTGTTCCTTGCGACACTAGGAAGCCACACATACCAGCTTGTTTCCTTAGGATGAATATAATATTATCTGTTAAATAGTACTTTTATATTAGGTTGTATGTGATACGTCTTGTTGTTGCGTTGCTCTTGGTGCTACTCAACCTTATCCACGTCTGGTGAAAATGTTTTCCTTTGCTTCGTTTGTATACATACTTAGCGAATAAAAACGGAATTTAAAGAAAACACTATTGATCAATTAATCTCTGATTCGTGTTAGACATAGATAAATATAAATGAGGGGTTGTAGCTCAGATGGTAGAGCGATCGCTTTGCATGCGATAGGTAAGGGGATCGATGCCCCTCAACTCCATAGTCTTTTTAAGCTTTCTTTTTCTTCAATGTTAAAGAGCAAAGTTTAGGGTTTCAACGGTGCTATAAATAAACTGTGGATATGGCAGCTTTCGGGTGTGAAAGGTGTACAATCGTTTTGTGTCGCTGCCACCAGCGATCTGCTCTTCACGGGATTCTCTTGCCAGACACATGCTTGTCCGGAGGCCCTGGTGGTCTGTCTACATTGTTGGACACCAGTTCCCTAGAGACCCATTGTGGTCTTCGAGGAGTCGACTCAAGAACTGGTGCTGTCTGCAAACTCACTTCCGAGTCTGGTAGGCTTTTTTAAGGGCAAGCTGAATGGCGGACAAGTGGAACTGTTTGGATTTGAAGGCTGTGAATCTCGAAGTTACACAGTAGAGGTCTGCTTTGGAGGAAGCGAGCTATTTCCATGTCCTGGTCAAGGTTTCTGAATCATTCATGGAATACCTCTATACAGACAAGAAGCCTGGCGAATGGAGTTCAGCGGGCCCTTCACTGCGGAGGAGTTCAAGACTTGCCTGGCAAAGTCTCCGTTCGGTGTTGGCACCACACAGGCAATGGTGTACCACACAGTGCTCACTCCACGGCTGCTTCAGCTGTATGTCCAGGCCAAGCAACCAGCTGCGTTTGACATGCTTATCCTACCTTACACCATGGACATAGTAAGGTACGTTAGTGGACTGGAAGATTGTACTATTGTAGACATAGACTCTTTTCCCCCAGCACCTGTCGAAACTGACTTGGCCACCGGGCTCGTCTCGTACCAGGTTGTTTAAGAGCGGCCGCCTGAGATCGGACGAAATGCTGATCCTGTGCTCCGGAAAGACTAGTAGAACAAGAACTAGAAGCAAATAGCAGCTGACCGAGAGCAGCAAGGCACCGCAGCTTATCCTTTTCAAATGCAGCATACCGGTAGCAACCTGAAAGAGGTAGCGTCATTCCTCGTTGAGCTCGAAGGCGGCGATGATGCGCGGCTCATGGATTTTCTTGGCTTGAATGAACATGAACACGCGGCATATCCATGAGGATTGCTACCGAGGGAACAATCGCCTCTGCTTACCTTAACGTTTCGGAGGAGATTACATGAAGCTCATTTCCAGATACTTGGTGGACTTTCTGGCAGCTGAAGTCATGAATAGGTCCAAAGCTTTGTATCGGTTACCTGAGAGGAAGATATGGGCATTTGACGTTCAGCAAGATGCAGCCGTTCTCTCAACCCACAACTCCGCGAGGCTGGAGGCTTTGGTGGTGAATGTAGTTAAGGCAAAGGGAAGCATACTTGGCCGCTATTTGGGAGTATGAGTTGGAAGCTTTGTTGGCTACTACTATGGAGGAGCTGCTCTCCGGGGTTCTGTTTTGTAACGAAAAGGCCGTTGATTTAGTGCGGCCAGGTGTGACGAGCAATACGGGCTGGAGTACAGATCTCAGTGTCATCAACCAAACGGAAGCGAGCCATATTGCATGGAAAGATGGGATCCTTTCTCGGTTCATGATGTTTGAGGAGCTGTTGGGATATTCTAGTACCAACGTTTTGCCACATGTTTGTCACCTAGACGTTGTGGGTGGTAAGCATTTTTCTATCTAAAGGTGTTTATCCGTGCTAACTTCATTCACTGTTTCTGTAGCAAATGTGAGTGTCAGTAACTTTGCAGAACTTTGCAGAACTTGATGGAACGTTGGCATTTGTTGATAAATTGAGGCTTCCTGAGCCTGAAGAATTAGCTCTTGAGAAAGCAGTTCCGTGTTCTGGGTTTGTCAATACTGTTGGAAAATGGATCTGGACAGGCCGGGGATTGAACCCAGGACCTCCTACACCGGTGCCAGGTGCTCTACCACTGAGCTACCTGCCCTGGTTGTGTGCATGTTCAGCTTAGTTCTAACACTCCCCCCTAAGCTGAACACACCACACATCCCTACCTGCCCAGTCCATGCCTACCACAGGCCATCCAACCATAGCTCCGATACCATGTTGGAAAATGGATCTGGACAGGCCGGGGATTGAACCCAGGACCTCCTACACCGGTGCCAGGTGCTCTACCACTGAGCTACCTGCCCTGGTTGTGTGCATGTTCAGCTTAGTTCTAACAAATACGAACAGGTGCAAGCGTTTCAAGCGGGGAGCTGAGAAGCCGTATTTTTGTTGCCCTGCTCGAGAAGTAGTAGCAAGATCAAGGTAAATTTTTTTCTTTATATTTGATACAAGGTGACTGGCAAACACATTTAAATGTTGATGAGAGAGCTTCCCACGACCAAGATGCGATTTGGCCGTCCGTCCTTCAGAGAAAGCACTGGGCTCGAGCCGACAGAGCGTGAAGTCGAGTGTCCACGAAATCCTGGGCTGCCATTTGCTTGAGCACCCGCATACGCCGTCACCATAGAATTCCAGGAAACACATTCTGGGCATACACGCTGGTGATAATGTTCCGGAAGTAGACATTGCAAAGTCATTGGAATGTGCACCATCTTGTCCATAGATTGAACAAGATTGGAAAATTGGAACTGCATTAAGTTAAATATCTTTCTCTTATGTTAAGAATCGCTTTTGCACGATTCGGTAAGGGGATCGATCACAAGGAGAATATCGTATTCTACAAGTATTATCCTGGTTTGTCTGCTTCGTTTGTATACATACTTAGCAGGGATCAAAACCCGATATTTTATTCCTTGTTTCTCTTTTGTCAATCTATCGGCTTCTTCCTACTCAGCTTCTAGCCTGTGTTGTAGTGTGCCAGCTCGTGGCTCTTCGGGAGAGATACAAAATTTTCTTCTTGTCATCGGTTTCATGTGTAGGCTTGAAAGCAAAGTCTGTGCTGTCCAGCAACATTCCCCTAAACTTTGCCAAATCTCTCTTTTCATTTTTTTCCTTTTTCTTTTTCTTTCCAGCAGCGTTATAACTTTGGGACAGCTTCTTTTCCCTATACTTCTTTCTGGAAATGAAACTGTCCGTCCTTCCTTTTTTCTAGAGCTCAGCCGTGTTCTTCAGTGATCCCCAGGTTTGTTTTTAAAGTCACATATCATTTCTAAACATCTGATTTCTCGTATCCCGTGCAGCTTCCATGTTTCGCTACGATTTCATGGATAAAACATTGCTACTTTTGCTAGTGATTACAGTTTGCGTTTCCTCTTCCTCGGCCCAACTCTCGGTTGGCTTCTACGGCAGGAGCTGCCCGCGAGTGGAATCCATCGTCAAGCGAGTAGCTCTCGACAAATTTAAGCAAGCACCAACATCTGCCGCTGCCACAGTCCGTCTCTTCTTCCACGACTGCTTCGTCGAGGCAAGTGGAGAGAAAAAAATCTAGTTTTTTTTCTCTCATCCCTGATAAACTTGTCCGGATTTCCATGAATTCCTCCATCCAGGGGTGTGATGCTTCCGTGACCTTAGCATCCACGCCGGCAAACAGAGCCGAGAAGGACGCGGACATCAACAAATCCCTGGCCGGAGACGCATTTGATTCGGTGATGAAAGCCAAGAAAGCCGTGGAAGCCGAGTGCCCGGGAGTGGTCTCTTGCGCCGATGTTCTCGCCATACTAACGCGCGACTTTGTTGGCCTGGTAAGCGAAACTTCCCTTCTTTAAAGCCTTTTGGAGGTCTTCCATTCATGCCCAAAGCTCCAAAACGAAAGGGGACTCAAAAACAAAATGCGTTTTTTTTATGTTGGTCAGACTGGAGGACCAGCATGGCAAGTGAAGAAAGGAAGACGCGACGGGAGAATCTCCAGAGCGGAAGCCGCCACTGCCAATCTCCCCGGCGCGGAATTCTCCGTAAACCAACTTCTCAAAAACTTTGCGACCAAGGGTCTCAATCTCGTCGACCTGGTGTCACTCTCAGGTATGCGCAGAAGTCACCAAAACATCAATCACTCACTTTTCTTCTTCCATGATCCAAACTACACAAACAAAAAACTCCAGGAGCTCACACATTTGGCTTTGCACACTGCGATCAATTCAGCAGCCGGCTCTACAACTTCAGCAGCAGTAACAGGATGGATCCAACAATGAGCTCCAGCTTCGCGTCGGACCTCAAGAAATCGTGCCCCATCCGGGGCGGAAATCCAAACCTGGTGGAGCCGTTTGATCCAGTGACCCCTTTCGAGTTTGACAACGCGTACTACAAGAATCTGTTGGCGGGCAGAGGGTTGGTAACCTCGGACCAGGAACTTTACTCGGACAGGCGGACCAGGAAGCT